CTAGTCTGATTCCGGTGCTCCCCCTGTCCTGGTGCTTCCCCATCCCACTCTGTTGCTCTCCCGGTCTCATTCTGCTGCACTCCTGTATCCCCTGCTGTCCCACCCCATCCCGATGCTGACACTGTCCCATCCCAGTGTTCACCCTGTCACCCTGATGTTTTCTCCAGTCCCATCCTAGTGACTCCCTGTGTCCCCCTGGACAATCCCATCCCAGTCCTTCCCCCACGCCCAGCCTGGTGTTTACCCAGTCCCGTCCCGGGGCTCTGCCATGTGTCCCCAGGTCTCATCCTGGAATTCCCCAGCATTCTGTTCCAGTGGTCCCCTTGGCTCTGAATCCCCGAATCCTTTGGGGCCAGCATATCCTGGCTGGATCCTGGAGCAGGAGTGGGATGCTTTTCCCACCTGTTGATGGGACAGTGCTCACGGGTGCCCAAATACCCTCTTGCCATCTTCGGCAGCACTGGGGAGGGGGGATGCCAGGGGGGATGCAGTACCTATTCAGCAGGTGTGTGAGCATTCCCATGTTAGTTCCTGAGCGTTTGGGAAGCAGGAAGCTGCAGGCAGCAGCTGCTCAGGGCCGGCAGGAGATAACCACAGGTAGGGCTGGGCAGCTGATGTCCCCCTGGTAGAGAGTGCCAGCACTGGAATTTCGAGGGAGCTTTCCTCTCCGCTGGGAACAGGTTGGGTTTGGCCTTTCGGCAGGGCTGGTGACGGCACTTGGCAGAACCTGCCAAACCTGTGCTGGTAGGAGGAAACCAAGGGTGGCCGACCTGTTTTGGGGCTGGGGTGCCCCATCGGACCAAGGCAATGCCCTGGGTGGTTGCTCTCCTGCAGTTTGGACTTTCCCGGCGGAGCGTGGGGGTGCTACAGCAAACTAATCCGGTGTTTGGGATACTTTCCTGGGTTATCTTTGGCTGTTCAGAAGGGAGCGCAGCCTTAGATAGTGGAGCCGGCTTCTCTGCGCATCAAAGAGATGAGGGTGTCTGCACCCGCAGCTCCAGGGTGCTGCGATCCCGGTGCTGGAGGGCACAGCCCCCCTCCCTCCGAAGCTGGCGCTGCCCCAGGGCAGTGCTGCCAAGGGGCTGCCAGCCCGGAGGATGCCAGAGCTCCGCATCTGGTTGCAATAAGGGTGGGGATCTCATCTTGGTGGGGATCTTTCCATGCCGAGCTGTGAACTCGGTCACCGGGAGTGAAGTCAGCCTCCCTCCCTGCACCGCCGCGTGCCCACGCCGCCCGCAGCTGCTTCCCGGGGGGAAGCCGCCCCGTGGCTCATCCCTGGCTCCCGCCAGGCAGCTCCCACCCTGCCGCTGGGCCGGAGGGGCCGGTGGGCTCCGTCTCCTCCCCGCCGGGCTCTTTTGGAGCTCTGTTACCCAGAGCGCGTCATTAGCGCGGCAGTGGCTATATATAGCCAGGAGGGACGTGTGTGCCGGGAATGTCCCTGCCGTGGGACGGGGGGGACTCCGGAGGCTTGGCCGGGGCAGCCTCCACCACTGTTTCCAGGGTGCCGAAGGGCCGGGTGAGAAAACAGGTACCAGGAGACCGAGACTGCCAGGATTTGGCCGCGCAAGCTCTCCACTCTCTGGGAGGCCTCGACGTGCACCCACTGGGGATGGGAACACCCCCCGCCTCGGCGTGTCACCCTCGCGGGAGCCGCCCAGCACCCTGCTCCGTCAGGCAGGACCTGTCCCCGCTCCCCTGGGTGCCACCGCGGCGGGGTGAATCCCTGGGGAGGGCCGGGCTGGGAGCGGGGCCGTGCTGAGTCAGTGCTGGTATGCCAGCGATCCGGTTACCGCCGCCGTGACGCGCCGGGGCTCAGCCGCCTCTCAGTTTCGCCCCGTGGCCACGGTGACCAAGGTGGCCTCTTTCCTGGCTCAGTTCGTGCTGCGCTCCAGGGAGACGCTAGAGCACCTTCCAGCGCCTAAAGGGGCTCCCAGAGAGCTGGAGAGGGACTTGTCACAAGGGCTTGGGGTCACAGGACACGGGGAATGGCTTCACACTGACAGAGGGCAGGTTTAGATCGGATATCAGGGAGAAATCCTTCCTGGTGAAGACGGTGAGGCCCTGGCACAGGTTGCCCAGAGAAGCTGGGGCTGCTCCATCCCTGGAAGTGTCCAAGGCCAGGTTGGACGGGGCTTGGAGCAACCTGGGACAGTGAAAGGTGTCCCTGCCTATGGCTGGGGAGTTGGAAAAAGATGTGCTTTATAGTCTGTTCAGACTGAAACCAATCTGCGATCTGGGGATCCATCCCTGCATTCTCCCAGGGTAGAGGAGCAGCTGGCTGCCTGCAGGCAGGGCTGTGTGCCCCAAAACCCGCCCCTCTGGCTCCCGGACTCCCGTGCTGGGGCGTTGGCGGGTGGAGGTGACAGGCGGGGACCGGCTTTCCCTTCTCCTCGCCCTGGGGAAAAGCTGATGCTGCCAGGGAAGGGGGGCCGTGGGCGCAGCTGCAGAGCCCGTTGCCGGTCCCCACCCTGTGGTTGTGGTGGGGCTGTGGCAGGGATGCCGGGGCTCTGGCCAGGCTCCCTCTCCGAGCCATCTCCGCTGCTTTCCAGGCTTGGCATTCTTCAGCTGCGTGGGCGCCGACGCAAACGTCACCGCCGGGCATGGCACGGAGGGGCTCACCTGCGACACGGCCAAGGGGTGCACAGGTAAGGCGGAGGTGTGAGGATGCTCGGGGGAGCCGGAGGCGTTGTATGAGAGCTGGGCGGTGCAGGGGAGCGGGCTGGGATGGCGCAGGAGCGGGTGTTTTGTCTGGCAGAGCCTCGCAGCCTCCACGGAGGTGGGAAGCCAAGGCCACACGTGCTGTTTGCAGCTGGCCGGGCTTGGACCTGCTGCTCGGGGATGCCACTGCTTCTGGGCGGAGCCGTAACCCCTCTGGGGGAATTCTTTGTCCTTGCCACCCCCAGGGAACGGGACGCAGCTGCGGCGGCAGGGCCACTTCTCCCGGTGCCCGGAGGAGTACAAGCACTACTGTGTCAAGGGGAGGTGCCGCTTCCTCGTGGCCGAACAGGCGCCGGCCTGTGTGTAAGTCACTGCTGGTGACTGGCAAGGGGTGGGATGCCGTGCCCGTCCTCCCTGGGAGAGCGGAATGAGTGAGGCACGGGCACCACGGCTGTTTTTGGGACCCCTCCTCTTCTGCCTCCCTTGTGCCGCGGGGCAGGTGCGAGCGAGGCTACACCGGGGCTCGCTGCGAGAGGGTGGATCTGTTCTACCTGCGAGGGGACCAGGGCCAGATCGTCATCATCTCCCTGATCGCCGCCATCGTCACCCTCATCATCCTCGTCGTCGGCATCTGCCTCTGCAGTCAGTACGTCAGGGGACAGGGAGGGGACGGAAAGAGGGAAAGGAAGGAAAGAGGGAAGGAAAGAAGGGAAGGGAAAGAGGAAAGGGAAAGAAAGAGGGAAAGGAAAGAAAGAGGGAAGGGAAAGAGGAAAGGGAAAAAGGAAAGAGAGAAGGGAAGGAGGGATGGGAAAGAAAAAGGGAAAGAGGGAAGGAAAATAAGAGAGAAGGAAAAGAGAGAGGGAAGGGAAAGAGGAGAGGGAAGAGGTAGTTCTAGACTGGGAGCAAATCCTGCCCAGCTCTGCTGGTTCCAGGCAGGTCGAATTTGGGCTGCCCCTACCAGGTGGAATATGGCTCTGCGGGTGCAGGGAAGTGCCTGGGACATTCCTTTGGGGCTGAAAACTGGATGAGATCCCACCTGGAGCCTTTGCAGTGTGAAAGCAGAGGAACATGGAGCAGCATGGCTGCCACGTCTCATTCCGCCTCTTTATTTTTTTTTTTTTATTATTTTCCCACCCCGAAAAGCCACTGTCGGAGGCAGCGTAGGAAGAGAAAGGCAGAAGAGATGGAGACGCTGAACAAGGACTCACCTTCCCGAAGCGAGGACGTGCGGGAGACGGGCATCGCGTGAAGGTGCACAGGGCCGGGCGGCGACTGAGTCGGTGTGACCGGCCTCCCCCGCACCGGGGCCGGTGCCGAGACCCCACGGGCTCCGCTCTCTCCGCAGGAGCTCCCGGTACCTGCGGGCGGGTCCCGGGCGGCAGCACCGGCTGGCTCGATGGGCGAAGGCTAAAACCGCACGGGCGGGCTTGAATAAAAGGGGTGTCGGAAAGGTTCCGCGTGTGCGCCGGTGCCTTGGCGGGCGGCGGGCGAGCGCGGGCGGGGGCTGCGCTGCGCACGCGTGTCGCCAGAGGCGACACTGCGCCGGGCGGGGGCAGCGCGGGCTGCTGCTCCGGGTTCGCGGGACGAGCTCTGGGCGCGGGGTGGGACAGAACGTCCTGGTCCCAGTACGGCCCGTCCCCGGCGTCCGCAGGGGCCTGTCGGCTCGGTCCTGTTGCTGGGCGGCCCGGGGGCGTGCTGGGCTGCGTCAGCCGGTGCGGCGCAGCCGCAGGACCGCCCTGAGTTCAGCGTCCCCAGAGCGCTCCGGACCGAGGGCTCCCGGTTCTCCGGGGCTCCTGCCGAGCTGCCCACTGCAGCCCGGGGTGGCCTCGGCGTCCCGGGGAGTGACAGGGCGAGGGAAACCGGGCAAAAGTGGGGGAAAACAGGTGAGAACTGGGATAATTGGGGCCGTTCGGTCCCATCTCCCCTCGTCACGGGCTCTGGTGCCCGGCTACGATCTGGACCGTGCCCAGGCGGCCACAGGTGATGGTTTACTTCCCTCCCCTCGGTGTGGGACCCCCCCCATGGGTCCCCATGACTCTCCCGGTGGGTTTCAGCACCAGCTCTCTGGGGTCCCCTCCTGGGGGGCAGCAGTGGCATCTCAATCAGTGGGGCTGGGGGTCCCTGTTATCTCCCACCCTGGACTGGGGACATGAGGACCTGGCAGAGCTGGGGATCCTTGGCAGTTCCCAATTCCCACCACGGGATCATCTCCCTTGTGAGCCATGACCTGGTGACTGGCCATGAGGGCTCCACCCGCGCTGTGTCTCCCACCCAGTACTGGGAGACTGGGAGCCAGCAGGGCTGGGGGGCTCCCAGGGGAGCTGGTGACCCTTCCTGCCACCAGGCTCTGTTCTGCCAGCAGAGGCCTCTGCCCAGGTCTCTCCCAGAGCGGCTCCCAGCAGGACAGACCTCTCCAGCCTGGCTCTGGGGGAAAAGTTCGATCTGGTGAGTGTGGGAGCTACTACTGGGGGAACTGGTCTGCACTGGGGTTCAGCCCTTCATCACTGCCCAGCATCATCCATGTAGGTGTATGCCTGGAGGCCAGAGCTGGCAGTTTTTAGGTGCAGTTTTGGGGGCCTGAGGGTGACTCTGGGGCTGTGCAAACCCCTCCTGTAACAGAAAACTTCCTTTTTCAGCTCAAATCGTGCCATGGGATTCCTGCAGCCCCAGGCAGTGACCCCTGCCTGGCTGGACACAGGGAGTGGTGACCACCCCCGCGGTGCCAGTCCCTCTGGAGGTGTTGGTGGCCCAAGCAATGCCAAGTGGCTGTGCCAAAGTGTGGGGAAGGCTCATCCCAGTGCCCAGTCAAGGAGCACAGCCCTGAGGCGCCAAGGGACATTGTTTTGGGCACCTACTTCACCAGGTTCCACGATTTTCCCCTGGGGAAATGGATTATGGGTTCCACAAAGCTGCTGGAAGCCCTGGCTCTGAGCTGAGTGGCACCAACATCACCTGGGAGCTGGTTCACCCCCCCATAAATGGCTGTTTATCTCCAGGCTCTGCTGGGCCTGGCTATGGGGCTTCCAGCTGTGAGGAATACACTCACTGCTCCTTTTGGGAATGTGCTGTACGCAGTCCAGAAGACAAATAAAATTAAAAGGAGGTAGAGTCTGTTTCCTGTCTGGTTTTGGGGGGTTGATGTTGCTGGCTGGGGTGCTGCTGGCCCTAAGGAGCTGGGAAAAGCAGGCACTGGGAAAGCAAGCAGGCCTGCAAGTCTCAGAGGTGGATAAAACTAATACTTTAAATCTTTTTTTTTTAATGCTTTTGTGGGGCACTGGTCAGGTAAATGTTGGAGCCATTTTATTCAGTGCTGGGTTTTCAGTGCCTCAAGTAATTCCTTTTCCCATCACAGGCCTGCATTCCCTGGTTGGAAGGTTGTAGGGATGCTGCTCCCACCCTGGAATTCCTGCATTGCTGCTAAATTCCTGCTGTACCCTGATATTTTGGTGGAGAGCAGAAAGACTGGAAGGGTTGCACTGAGCAACAAGGATGGGGATTTAAAAAAAACCACAACCAACAACAAAACAAAATCAGGGATTTTGCTGCTTCCTTCACATCTTTGGGAATGGGTTAGAGAGATGGTGGGATAAAAATACAGGTGCTGAGGACAGGAGGAAGGACACCTGGTAAACAAAATTAATACAAAAAACAAACAGAAAGCCCCACTGCAACTGAGAGTGGAAAAGCCAAGTGATTTATGCCCAGGCTGGCAAGGGCTGGAGGGAATCCCTCGGGAATCAATGCTGGCTGGCATCAGCCGGGAGCAGCCCAGGCTTTCCCAGAGTCTGCTGGTTTTACTAAGAGAATTGTTGTGGTTTGTGTTGTTTTGTTTTGAATGGCAGTTGAGTATTTTTGAGTGGTTTCCCCCCCCATAAGTGGTGATGGTGTCACGTGCAGAGGTGTCCTTGGCTGGCTTAAAGGCATTTCTCCAGCTTTTCTTGGAATCCCAGGAGGTCACTGTAATTGAGGCAGTCCTTGGTGTGTGCATCCTGAATTTGAAGGATGCAAACTGAGGCTGGAAGGGAGTGGAAGCTCTGGGTGGTCACTGACACCTTGTGACAGAGATTAAAACACTTCAGTGGGAGCAGAGGGATGTGAAATGGAATCTCATCCACACTGATGTACCAGGGGAGGCAGGAGGATTTGATAAGTGACGTGAATGACATGTGGGTCACTCACCCAACAGAACAGGATAAACCCCAACTAATTAACTGGAAAGAAATAGAATATTGTTATCAAAAGAAATGTGAATAATTGGAAATTAATATTTCGAAAGGAGTGGTTTTGCCAGTTTTGCCTAATTTTTTAGAGCATTAGCTCCCAGGACTAGAGCTGGGACCTCTTCCTGCCTGCAGAAATGGGAGCAGCCGTGCCCATTCCCAGCCCTTCCCACCGCCCCGGGAGTGCAGAAAGCCTTTCCAGCAGCGGCGAGGAGACTGTTTTCATCTTTATTTTGGCTGCAGGAATACAAGGGTGGTGTTGCTGGTGGGTGGGTAGGGAACCGTGGGCTTGGTGGCACCTTCTGTCTGCTGGGCATCCTCCAGCCCAGCTCCCTTCCGACGTGCCACATTCCTGCATGCCCACCGAGCTTTGCCTCGCGATCCCGCTCCATCCGTGAGTGCCCGGAGAAGCGATCCCTGCTGTCGGCACCGGACGCCCACCAGCTGCTCCCTCGGGGCCCCTATCCCAGGAGGCAGGACTCCTGCTTGCACACCTCTCCCAGCTCCGAGCTCACCTGGAAAAGGGGGGAAGAGGACAGGGGCAGCCCCGGGTGTGGAGTCTGGCACCGCCCCGGCTGTAGGGAGGGTCCTCGGCTGTACCTTGGAAGCACAAAGGAGCGGGGGCGCGTCCGGGGTGCAGCAGGTGGAGGCGAAGGAGACTCGCTGCTCCAACATCTGTTCCAGCAGCTCCGCGCTGGCCTCGGGAAACGTCTGTGTCAGGCTTTCCCGCAGCCTGCGGCGCAGGGGACGGGGTGTTAGTGGGAATCCGGCAGCATTCCACACCCATACAGCATTTGGGGAGGGGGGATGCACCCGTGGATGGCGTGTGGGGGGGTGTTATGTGTTATTTGCTTCCCACTATTTTGCTGCCATTTAGGCTCAAACCCACCGGCTCCGCTTGTGCATCCTCAACCTCTCGGACGAATTTTGATTGCATCCCCTGATGCAGGTGGGTTTTTTGGGAGAGGGGGGTGCAGAAAAGGCTTACCTCTTCTTGAAGTCAAGGAAATAGAGCTCGTTGTACTGCCCGCAGAGCTGGCTGGCCCTTTCCAGGACGGGGGTCAGCTCTGCTCCCATCTGCTGGCGCTGCGAGCACAGGGTGGGTGTCACCAGGCTGGGAAAAGCCCCTGCAGGGATCTCGGGGGATGCAGGGATGAGAGGGAGCAGGGAGAGCACCCAGAGACCCCTCCACCACTCACTTTGCTGTCCAGGCAGGCAGAGGGGTCCTTGGCTGAGCAGCATTCCTCCCTGATTTTCTCCGAGGCGTCATAGAGCTTGGCAAGGACGGCGTCAGGGAGGCTGGGGTGCCTCCGTGCCAGCTCAAATAGGGACCTGGAACGAGGGGCCACACAGGTTTTTATTATGGGTGCTGCTCAGAATGGGATGAGGGCTGCTTTTGGCACCTTTGTGCAGCCCCTGGGGGTGGTGCCTCTGAGGGAATTGAGGATTAACCCCATAATTACCAAACCATATAACCAAGGGGAGAAGGAAGGGTCAGGAAACGGTTGGACTCAATGACCTTAAGGGCCTTGTCCAACCTAAATGGTTTCAGTCACTCCATGATTGTAACCTGGGTAGCACTTGCCTGGTGGTCTGGAGATCCCCCTCCTTGCCGCACAGCTCCTTGTTGGTCGGCTCCGGTGCCTCTGGGAGTTTGGGAGCGGGCGCAGGGGGCAAGGCCAGGATGCAGAAGTAGTTTTCCACCAGGTTTTTCCCCCTGCAGCAGTCGGCAAAGCGCCCGTCCTGGGCCGACAGCGTGGCGCAGGCTTTGGCCGTGTGCTCCGAGAGCTGCGGAGAGGGGAGCACAGAGAGGGCGTGTGTGGACCCCCTGCCGTGATGGGGTGTGTCCTCCAGTCCCCATCTGGGACTCGGGAGGTGGTTTTGGCGTGGGTTTTGGGCTCCCCCCTACCTTCTTCTGCATGCAGTCCTCAGCCACCGAGTCGCAGCACTGGGAAAACACCTCGGCAGCGCCTTTGGCCAGGGGGAAAAGGTCCTCGAAGGAAGCAGCGGGCACCTTCTGAGCCAGCGAGGCCAGGTAGCTGGGGGGCACAGGGTGTGTG